GCTCCATGACTGACAGGGCCCACAATGTATGCGTATCTGGAGCACAGTACTCAAAGTGGAACTACACCCTCGCCCCGATCCTTTACAATCGGGGAAGGTTCCATCCCCGCCTCTATCTGGATTTCCTTGGTGCTGCACATGTGATCAGCTATGATAGCAGCCATTAGAGAGCTGAAATAAGCACACACGTTTTCATGGGTGGAGTTCCGCTTTATTAGGGTTGCTTTAACTAAAGGTGCAGAGAATGTTCAGTCATGGAAGTGAATGTGCACCCAGCTATCTCAATGACTTGAAGAAGCTCACTTTGAATACCTTAAGAAGTAAGGCTCTGTTCACACCTAGGCGTATCGAATATGCGCGTTTGTCGCGCGTTTCGTGATGCGCGTTTCCTAGGGCTACTTGGCTGTATCCCAATGGAAACGCGCGACAAAAACGCCACAAAGAAGCTCATGTACCTTTTTCAGGCATGGGCCGTTTTGTAGCGCGTTCAGACGGGCTGAAATACGGCAAGGTGTGAACCATACCCATAGAAAACAATGGGATTTTCATGTTTGAGCGTTTTGTAGAGCGTTCGTAGAGCGTTGAACGCGCTACAAAACGTACAGGTGTGAACCAGGCCTCAATGATTACACATAGAGATCCAACCTATTCACTAAGATTGGTGAACGTTTCTGGTGTACAGTGACAATCCTCTGCTCCTGTATAACTGAACCTCTGTGGAGGAGAAGAGAACATTCACTCACATTGAATACCCGGCTCTCCTGTACAGAGGAATGAAACATCCTAGTATACCATGGAATCCAATCATTGAACAGCTTCACCTATACCCTGAGCCAACATTCTCTACCCGTTTACTAAACTCAGAACCCAATGCATAGTAACCAACATTATAAGATGAGAAAGAGGAACACCTTATGGCACAATGTCGGCAAAGGACACACCCCTTGCCCCGCCCCCAGTCACAAGCAAAAATGGTTAAAGTCACACTTCCTTTTTTTCACCACCACTTTTCCTTTATGTTGGCTTTGCTGATCTGATCTGCACATTATTGGATGATTGAAGTGAGTGTTCACACGCTCAGGCTGCTGTACTAAAGGATTTGATGATGTCCACACAACAAATGGTGTCGGTATTCCCTACAACCATCCAATCACATGCAGAGGAAAGGATTACACAGGGATCTCCTTTTGACACAGTTGGATCGTTCAAGTGAATCTGCACACCAAATCCTTCACTTAATCAGCATCATCGAGTAAAGATTCTAAACTCCATTACTAAATTAGCCCAAAAGTATTTTGTGATTTACAGAACACCTCCCCCTCTCCTCCATCATATAGGAGGCGTTGTTCTGTAGTCCACAGAGAGCAGTAGGAACAATGCTAACAGGTAACAGGCAGGGAGCACAGGAAGTCATCAGCTCAGGGGGTTTCTGGCAGGATCAACAGGTATTTGTTGCACTTATCAAACAAATAGAACAAAACACTTTCAATGAGAAACAAGGGAAGCCATTATGGAGGTTACACACACGTTAAAGAGTCCATTATTTATACAGAGGAAGGAGGGGCAGAGGGGTGGGGGGCAGAGGGATGAGGGGCAGCCGGGGAGTATGCCAGTGTGTGACAGAGGTGGGCAAGGACGGGTGTCAGAAGGTGCTGAGCTCAGTGTGTGATTGAGAGCGTCCAGGAATGGAGAGAGTGAAATGTTGCAGGTAATGGAGATCAATGGGTGCTGTGCTCTATGACTGACAGACCCCGGCAGGTAATGGATATCAATGGGTGCTGTGCTCTATGACTGACAGACCCTGGCAGGTAATGGATATCAATGGGTGCTGTGCTATTTGATTGACAAACCCTGGCAGGTAATGGATATCAATTAGTGCTGTGCTCTATGACTGACAGACCCCGGCAGGTAATAGAGATCAATGGGTGCTGTGTTCTATGACTGACAGACCCCGGCAGGTAATGAAGGTCTATGGGAGCTGTGCTTTATGACTGACAGAACCACGCAGGTGATGGAGATGAATGGGTGCTGTGTTCTATGACTGATAGACCCCGGCAGGTAATGGAGATCAATGGGTTCTGTGTTCTATACTGCCCGAACCAAGCAGATGATGGAGGTCTATGAAAGCTGTGTTCCATGGCTGACAGGACCCAGCAGGTGATGGATGTCTCTGTGAGCTGTGCTACATGACTGACACAACCCGGCAGGTAATGGAAGTCTTTGGCCGCAGTGCTCTATGACTGGCAGACCCTGGCGGGCAATAAAGGTCTATGGGAGCTGTGCTCTATGACTGACAGGACCCAGCAGGTAATGGGGGTCTTGGGTGCTGTACTCCATGACTGACAGGACCTGGCAGTGAGAGATGATGGTAGCTAATGTGCTTCATGACTGATGGGACCCAGCAGGTAATCAGCAGGTGGGAGCTGTGCACTATGACAGGTAATGGTGGTCTGAGAGAGCTGTGTTACATCCCACATAGCAAGCAATTGAACTGCACATATGAAAACGACTTGCTGAGCTATTGCTGGACTTGCCAAGCTATTGCTGGACTTGCCAAGCTATTGCTGGACTTGCCAAACTATTGCTGGACTTGCCAAGCAAATCTGCCACACATTGAAAGAGTGACGACTAGAACTTGTGCTGCAAGTGATCTGCAAGTCTACATCCTACCAGGGAAAATGTGCAGCAAGTTAACAAGACTTACATTTCAAACCCACCACAAGATTGTGATAAGTTATCTGTGAGGACTGACGGGAGATGGTGGTCTGCGGGAGCTGTGCTCCATGACTGACAGGACCCGGCGGGTGATGGAGGTCTGTGGGAACTGTGCTTTATGACTGACAGGACCCGGCAGGTAATGGGGGTCTATGGGAGCTGTACTCTATGACTTACAGGCCCCGGCAGGTAATGGGGGTCTATGGGAGCTGTACTCTATGACTTACAGGCCCCGGCAGGTAATGGGGGTCTATGGGAGCTGTACTCTATGACTTACAGGCCCCGGCAGGTAATGGGGGTCTATGGGAGCTGTACTCTATGACTTACAGGCCCCGGCAGGTAATGGGGGTCTATGGGAGCTGTACTCTATGACTTACAGGCCCCGGCAGGTAATGGGGGTCTATGCGAGCTGTGCTTTATGACTGACAGGACCCGGCGGGTGATGGAGGTCTGTGGGAACTGTGCTTTATGACTGACAGGACCCGGCGGGTGATGGTGGTCTGTGGGAACTGTACTCTATGACTGACAGGACCCTGCAGGTAATGGGGGTCTATGGGAGCTGTGCTCCATGACTGACAGGACCCGGCGGGTGATGGAGGTCTGTGGGAACTGTGCTCTATGACTTACAGGACCCGGCGGGTGATGGAGGTCTGTGGGAACTGTGCTCTATGACTGACAGGACCCGGCGGGTAATGGAGGTCTGTGGGAACTGTGCTCTATGACTGACAGGACCCTGCAGGTAATGGGGGTCTATGGGAGCTGTACTCTATGACTTACAGGACCCGGCAGGTAATGGGGGTCTATGCGAGCTGTGCTTTATGACTGACAGAACCAAGCAGGTAATAGGGGCCTATGGGAGCTGTACTCTATGACTGACAGGACCCGGCAGGTGATGGTGGTCTGTAGGAGCTGTGTTCTATGACTGACAGGACCCGGCGGGTGATGGAGGTCTGTGGGAACTGTGCTCTATGACTGACAGACCCCGGCAGGTAATAGGGGTCTATGGGAGCTGTACTCCATGACTGACAGGACCCGGCAGGTGATGGTGGTCTGTAGGAGCTGTGTTCTATGACTGACAGGACCCGGCGGGTGATGGAGGTCTGTGGGTGATGTGTTCTATGACTGACAGACCCGGGCAGGTAATAGAGGTCTATGGAAGCTGTACTCTATGGCTGACAAGACCCGGCAGGTGATGGTGGTCTGTGGGAGCCGTACTCCATGACTGACAGGACCCGGCAGGTAATGGAGGTCTATGTGAGCTGTGCTCTATGACTGACAGGACCCAGTGAGCAATAAAGGTCTATGGGAGCTGTACTCTATGACGGACAGCACCCGGAAGGTAATGGGGGGCTATGGGAGCTGTGCTCCATGACTGACAGACCCCGGCAGGTGATGGTGGTCTGTGTGAGCCATACTCCATGATTAACAGGACCTGGCAGGTAATGGAGGTCTATGGGAGCTGTGCTCTATGACTGACAAGACCCAGTGGGCAATAAAGGTCTATGGGAGCTGTACTCTATGACTGACAGCACCCGGAAGCTGTGCTCCATGACTGACAGACCCCGGCAGGTAATAGGGGTCTATGGGAGCTGTGTTCAATGACTGACAGGACCCGGCAGGTAATGGGGGTCTATGGGAGCTGTGCTCCATGACTGACAAGACCCGGCGGGCAATGGAGGTCACTCTATGGAGAATGGTTGTGCAATGTAGAATGCATGCACGGCATGTGAATAAACAGAGCAGGTAACGTTCTATATTGTACATAGTAGAGCAGTGAGAGGTTGTCTGTACCCGGTCAGTGACAGACGCATCCAGCAGGGTGTCCCTGTGTACGGACCGGCCGGCACACACAGTCCGCTCGCACTTGCTGTGAGGAGTTTTGGCGCGTCCTGGCACGTGACCCCGCACGAGTGACGGCGCGAGCCTCTCCTGCTGCCGCGAGAAAAGTATAAAAAAAATAGTAAACAATTCACGCGCGCCTCTTTCAGGGAGGGGCCGAACTTGGCGGGGATGATATCACGGGATCACAGGAGGGGATTTCCCGGCCTCGAGCTGCTGATTGGCGAAGCTTTGAGAATCCACCCGAACGGGGCGGGTCTGTTGACGTCACAATAGTACTCGGATGAACTGTTCGCACAGTAAAAGTATTCCTTGGCAGCCTCGGAGCGGAGCGGCTGGCGGACTGCGCTGTGTATTATACTGGCTGTGCTGACAAAACACCGGCGTCCATCGTTCAGTCTGTTCTTCCTGTGCGGCGTTCATCATTCTCCCGGCTGGGGCGGCCATGCATCCCGAGTTGTAATGTAAGTGGTGCCGCTGCTGTGTTCTTGTTGTCATGCAATATCAGTGTTCGGCCATGATAGTATTAGTGCCCTGGAGTGTCATGGTTCTGTGTGTGAAGCCTCTCCCCGGACTCCTGCAATCTCCTGGGTACTTCAAAGACGACAGCCCGCTGAAAGAGGACTCAGCGTGTCTGCGGGACTGTCCTCTACAATAACGAACGAAGTGAGCACCGATCGCTGTCAACACTGCCGGGCTGGAGCCGAGTACGCGGAGGGATCAGCACTCTCCCTTATCTCTTATGACCCGGGGCCCCCATATATAGGAGCCCCATCCCAGTATGACCCCAGGACCGGCCTCTGATGGCCCTTGGTGTGTATTGACACAGGGCGATCACTCGCCGGCTGACAGTGTATACAAAGAGCAGCTCTCCAGTCATAACAAAGACTCGGCTAAAGGGGACAGTGTTGACCTTCCTTGCAGAGCAGGCTCACACAGCATGGGGGGGGGGCTTCGCAACTGTATTTCTGAGTACTGGAGATTTCACCCTAGAAAACTACTAAATTCCCCCCCACCCCCAGTATATTGTCATTGCTAATGTTTTATATCTCCATCTCCCAGCTCTGCATCAGTCCTCTTTATTATGTTTGTTTACTGTACATACTGTTCTTAGAGTGTGTATATATAGAAGGAGCTTCTGATGTGTGCCAGCTGCAGATCCAGATCAGCACAGTCATGATTGACTTTTAAAAGTCAATTTTTTTTTTTTTTCATAACATGTATTTTTATTTTCTTACATTATTATTATTTTTTACATAAGATTTTATTTTATGTATTTTTATACACTTGGGATCAACAACACAATAAGCAAATTGTGAATCTGGTAGACGGACAGAGATCTTTAGTGTTTTGTTGTGTGGGGTTTTTTTTGTTTTTTTTTATGCATGAGAATAAAATCCTTGGAAAGTTTGGCTTTTAAAAACAGAAACATCCTTGACGTGTGTGAAGCCGCTTTTTAGATGACCAGATCTGTATAAAATCTGAGTTGTGATGTTTAGGATCACACCGTTGTGTTTATGTTGTTTACATTTTGTTTTTGTCTGGTGAGTAGCTCTCGTGATCGTTGCATTGAATAGTGAACTGCATTGTTGTCTTCGTTGTAGTTGTCAGTAGAAAGGTGAAAGCTCCCTCCCCCCCACTCTAGTGAAATGAGAAGTGAGCGCCCTCTCCGTACTATTAGCCTATTGTGACACACTTGACTACAACCCCAACAGTCCGTGCCAAACCTTTCCCAGATCTAGACTTGCTGTGCTCAGCACTTCACAGAACAATAGGGCTGGAACAGGGAGCCCTGCCAGCTCGCTCACCAGAGAATCAGTGCAGTCACTAGAACCACAGCAGGCGCTCTTCACATTTCAGCACACCCTCTCCTGTAATGACCTGGAAAATCACACTATTATTATTGCATGACTGCTGATGCAATGCTTAAGGATACAGACCGAAGCCAACGTTAAGCTTTACTCCAGCGAAGGTTTAGAAGGAGAGATGCAAAATGCTCTCGCTGGACTGCTAGATGAAGCCAAGTTTGCTGTAGAGAATGCACGGCGGTGTGCTGGATTTCTCTTCGTCGGGCTGGTACGAGGACTGGATTAATGTGCTGTTGTGACAACTGTTGTGCGTCGTCTTGTTTGTCGAGGACCGATATACACAGGCATGCCATTCTGCCACCCAAGACATTTAATATCGAGCAGACGAGGTCTTGTGCAAAACTTGTCACAATGTGTCCTTTGCATACAGACATGACCTGACATGATTATCCAAGAGGACACTTAGGGACTATGTGGAGGGATTTCCCACAACGGGACATTTAACCCCCTCTACCGTGTTTTAGTTCACAAACAAAGATCCGCAGCGTCCATTTATTTAAAGGGAAATACCGTCTTCATTGCTAGCTTACAATCCGTTATGCATAGAATTTAGCCAAATGGTAATCGGCAATTCGTACATTTTACTGCTCCACAAACACAAGTTTTTTTGTTTGTCATTTTTTTTTTTTCTAACCTTTTTAATATATACCGCTCTTTAACTATATGTGGTTCAATTAAATACCTAGACTAGGGGTGACCAAACGAAGCACTCCAGCTGGCACAAATTCCATCATGCCTCTGGCAGTCATGCCTGTAACTGTCAATCTTGCCATACCTCATAGAACTTGTAGTTCCACAACAGCTGGAGGGCCGAGGTTCCCTACCCCTGACCTAGACTGTTTATTGCACTTTACCGTGCCAGTCTGTCCTTTTTGTGTTTTGGTATTATTTAGTGTCTTTTTATTATTCAGGATTTATATAGCGCCAACAGTTTGCGCAGCGCTCGGATTTAATTTCCGTGTGCTGCAGGAATAAATGTTTGGCATTGAGCCCTGTTGTTGAACATTTGAGACATTTAAATTAAATCTAAATAGTGTGCTATTTTGCACCAGATTCTAAATCGTGGGGACTCGATCTAAATTATTTCGAATTTTACGAAATTGAACGGGTCTGGTTCCCCGATGCTTGTCTAGATCTACGATCTTGTTAGGACTTTCACTTGTGGCAACATTGTAGTAATTGTGCACTTTCAGTGGCTTTCAGATGACTAAAAATATGTTCTTAAAAGTGCCGTGTGTTTTCGGCTCTGTCATTCTGTCTGCCACTAACCTAAGGGTGCCGTCCCTGACAGCCGAGGAGAGCAGCTTATAAATTAGCCGGCTGCCTTGGTGTGAATCTAAGGGTAGGTTACATTACGTCTTTGTGGTACAGTAAAATTGGCGCGTAGCGAAATAATTTAGCTTGGGTCCTCGTGCTTGTATAGAATCTGGTGCAAAATGTGAAATAGCAGGTTCTATTATGATTGCTTTTATATAGTTCCAGCACTTTGCACATCTCCTTGCAAAATGAAGGGAGACATTACAATACAAATTCAACACAGGAGGGTTAAGAGGAAGGAAATAGAAGGAAATACATAGAAAACAGTGGCTACTCTTATGTAAAGCATGCCAGTGTATATGGAGCATCAAGCTTGATTAGGGCACTCGGCACAGAATGTTACTTTCTACTTCCTGTCACTTATGAAATCTAGCACCTTGCATGCGTGAGCTGTAAGAAAAGAGGAACCTGCCGAGATCAAATAAACATGGGAAACTTGACAGAATAGGAACTTGGCTGTGGGAGTCATGCTACACAGTATACTGGCTTCTTGTGAACTTGTTATGCTTGGGATGAAGACCATTAGAAGTGTCTTACAGTCTACTTTACCATCCTTGTTTTCTTGTTTTTACTGAGTGATACAAATAACGCAATGGCAATGTTAATATGTTTTAGTGCGGTGTTGTGGGTGAGCAGTAAGGCCCTGGATATATAATGTCAGATGGTTAAACATCTTCAGCCTTTATAATGCTTTTACCATGGCTGCTTTAGTTCCTGCATGTCTTTTGGCATTACATGTATGATTTTTGAAACACAAAGTGAATACTTATAGCCGAGAGACATATTCCAAGTCTGAGGTAATGTTCTGGCAGTAAGTGAATATTCAGATATTTTACGAAAGAGTTTACACTTCTTCAAAGGTCTGTGCTTCAGTCTGGATCATGCAGGCTTTGTAAACATTAGATGATGGGACACATTTTGCACCGTAGTATGCATACTGGAAAGGAAGAGCCTGCCCAGCTAGATATATTATGATGCTCTATGACTGCTATTTTATCAATTAATGAACCAAGATACCATTGCTTTAACCTGATAACATTTTTCAGTATAATGTACATTGGTTTATGCTACTTTTGGCTTCTAGTGAATGTGCTAAAAGTAATCCATAAGTCTGAGCATGCAATTTTTTTTTCTACTTTTCAGAGATAAAAAGACCAAATGGCCAAACCACCACCGGTGCTAAACTCGGAGTGCACTGGAGAAGATCAGATAAATCCAAACAGACGCACTCCGCACCGACCTCCTCGAATAGAGAACCCTACTTCCGTCGTCACCCCTTTACCAGGGCACCGATCTGATGTGGGAGGGAGCTCTTCGGCTAGTACACCTTACAGCCCAAATTTATATGCCAACCGATCCCCACAGTGTATGCTAGTAAGAAGACCACCCCCTTTTTCAAGAACTTCTAGTGGGTACTTCTCATTTGAAGTGAGTCCTGCTCCTGTGTACTGTGATAAAGCCACCCAGACTCCAAGCCTTCCGTGCCAGGCCTTCAATCATTATTTATCCGAAATGGGTAAGCTAGTCCTTTTTTTTTTTTTTTTTTATGGGATACCTAATGTAAAAACATGGTGAATGGTTGAGTTTCCTGTTGTAATAGTGGCCAAATACACATTGTTACTATTGGTTGATCAAAACATCCTGTTGGTTTATCATCTGGTCTTACATAAGTGGATGAATTTAGGTGTGCGTTTTTTTAAAAATTTTTTATGGAAATAAAAGTTAGGATTGGAAACGTTGATACGTTTTTATTCCCCTCTTTCGATCAAATCATTCTGTGATTTAATTGTTTTTTGTTTTTTCAAAGGTCTGATTGATAATTGTGATAGGAGCTAAGCTACTGACGTGATTTTAATATCTAGCTGCTGTGCCGAGAGGCAATCCGATACTGGCAATCCCCACAGAGCTTTTTAGTAGCTCAATTGTGCCATTAAAATCAATAACGAATAATCATTAGGAGTAGCGGTTGATGGCAAAAAAGGTACAACAAATTGCTCCCTTTTTAGAGCAAGCTACACATGTAGTAGTGGGCAGTCACATGATCACACAATGCACCAATCACATGTAATTGATTGCTATAAGAATCTACAGTGTGCTTTTTGTTTCGCCTAATCTATAGGAAGCTATTAGTTGAATCTGTTTAGCGATCAATTACTAACCCTTGCCGCTCACTAGAGATTGAAATAGCACTATCAAAGCTGCTAGCCTGAAAAAACCGCCTCCTGCTCATCTTCTCACTTGAGCAAAACTAAACCCAAGAACAAAATTTTATATATTGCAGCTTCCTGGGCCTGAAAAAAAGAAAACTAATGCAGATACCACATCTAAGAACATTTTAGGCAAGTACAGAAAATACCTGTTGATCTTGCCAGAAATGCGGTATCCATGTTGCTTCCTGTGAGCTAAACTGGAAGCATAAAACAATCTTATCTTCTATCTAGTCATTTACAAAGCCCAATACACCACAAGTATTGGAGATAACAAATACAGACATGCTTGAAGTCTAGAATGGGTGGTTACCGTGGCTTCTTTCTTGGATACAGTGGAGGAGTGAGTGTAGTCACCCAGGGACAGAAAGTGTTATTTACAGGATTAACAGGTGAAAGTAAGGGGGAATCCTGAAACAGGAAAAGGAATGCAGCCAACACATTTTAGGATTGGTAAGCTGCAATGTATTAGGTTTTGTTTGGGTGGGTTAAAATCACCTCATGTAGCTTGGCCCTTCAAGCTAACTAAAAGGGATAGTTTTGCATATGGCCTCTGTAAGAGATCCTTCTCTAGTCGCTAATATCTTTTATTTAGTTGTTTGATCATTCCTATAAATGCTTCAAAGTATCTGTCTTGCTTAACCAGTTGCCGTCCACCCATAGTAAAAATACGGGTGGACGGCGGATGCTTCCGAGCGGGAGGACGTACATTTATGTGATTTTTGTCTTCCGGCTCGTGTGTGAGCAGGGTCCCGCTGGGAATCTAAACAGCCGTTACGGGCTGTTACATACAAGTGTGTGGCGCTCTACAGCCGGCCGATCGCTTGTATTACTGTGCATGTGGTGTGCGATCCCCTCCATTGTGGCGCTCCCCCTCGCCCGTTATCCCAGGCTCCACTGTCGTGTCTAAACACCCCCCCTCGTGGGCCCGTTAACGGCACAGCAGCTGTCTTTACAGAGAACAGCCAGCGCTGATCTCTCCTCTGTTTTCTCAGAAGCGATGTCTATTACACAATCACCTTCTAACTGTCATTTCACTGGCTTAGAGGCTGGTGAAGCAGATCTCTGCTTAATCAGCTACTTTGGGGGTCCCTAGGTGACATTAGGGGTCTTTGGAGACCCGTGATGTCTCCATAAAGAGGACCTGTCATTGTGCATTATCTATCACATAGGGTGCTTGTTAGCCCCCTTTAAAAAAAAAAGTCCCCCGGCTGCACACATATAAACGAAAATACGCGTTGGGTGCGCCTACATGCGAAGATTACGCCACACATGTTGCATATCGTTGCAGTGCGAGCAATAGTTTTAGGGCCATTAATCACTGATAACACTAAACTGATGAGCGGTAAAAGCTTGTAAAGTGTCGCCTATGGCCAATTTTAAGTATGGTATTTGTTTGCGATTTCGTGGGCGCAAGCAATTTTGAGGTTCAACATGTTTGGTGTCTTTTTACCCGACATGACCCTGTATTTGATATTTTACCCCCAAAAAATGGGTAATGGTAAATGTTTTATAGCATGAAGTAAGGAAAACCCAGTTTTTTGTATTTTGTTTTCAAAATGTTCAACGTTTTCTCATTTATATAGTAAAAATAAAAACCCCCAGTGGTGATTAAATACCACAAAAAGAAAGCTCTATCTGTCCCTAAAAAATGGTATAACAATCATTTCAGTACAGCGTTGCATGACGGAATAAATGTCAAAGTACTGCAGCGCTGAATAGTGAAAAATGGCCTGGCCAGGAAGGGGGATTAACACCGCGGTCAGCAAGTGGTTACTACCCACATTTGTGCTTCTAAAATAACATATAGTTGGGGTTTCATTTACTAATGGCAGACGGGCTGTTCACTTTGAAAGGGAATTTTCCCTCATCTTAGTGAATGTGGTAAATTCCTTTGCAAAGTTTATCTAATCATGAGCACGAAATATTAAACAAAGTATTTTTAGCACGCAGTACTTGCCTAGGATTGGATGATGGGAAGTCTGCAGAGCTTTATCACACTTGCTAAGCTAAAGGGAAAATTCCCTTGCAGGGTGACCAGCCTATTTGCCTTTTGTAAATCAACCCCATAATTTTGGGTGGGATGTGCTAACCTGATTCCTAGTGTTTGGCACCTAGAAGGTTGTTACTATACATGATTCCAATGCGGTGGCCCTGCTTCTAGCCACCTTTGTTTGCTGCCTTTCTGAAGGCACATCTGGGGAGGATAACCAAAGAGCTTTCCCCAGAGTGTCTCTGGCTCCTGTCATACCTCTGCTGTACTGGAGATGAACTGGTTTATCAGCTGACAGCCTCCAGCTGGTAGAAGTGAGTTGAAAAAGTCAGAGCAGGACATGTCCTTTTCCTGATGGGACTTGCAGTTTAAATGCATACATGAGCAAGTCTTGTGGGGTAGATTCAACCCGGCTTTGACACCTTTTAAGATGTTGACCAAAATCTTTGCATGTGCTTCCAGAATACAGTGTTGGTCATTTCAAAGCAGGAAAATACTGAATGTTGGTTCTCCTGTTATTCCAACTGAATGGCATAATTATTAATATACTGGGAATGTATTCAAAAGGCACACATAGTTTGTTCTTGTAATATATCTGACAAGTAAGAGGTGAGAATAGGTGTTTTTTTTCCAGTGAAAGGTTCTGGTCAGCTGGATTCATGTTTTGCTTCTAAACCACCTTAGATAAAAATGCTGTAGAGATTCTAAGCACTGATTGCATTTAATTCATATTGATTAAATGTATTGGATGGATACGTTGTGTGTGGTTTTGGGGTGTTTTAACCCCCAAAAGTTTCTCTCTGCAGTAGTGAAATTTGAGTTAAATGTTGGCTTTGAGTAAGTGTAAACACTCTAATGGGATACAGATTTGTTGGCAGCTGCTGTATGTATATGTTTTTCTTTTATTTCTCACTACCTGGGAAAGCACTTGTTGACCTTGACATACCGAGCACTGCCATGTCATACTGGTTTAAAAATAGCTTTCTTATCTGTAATAGCTGGGCAGGTGTGTGTGTGTGTGTGTGTGTGTGTGTGTGTGTGTGTGTGTGTGTACGCA